CGTCCTGGCGGATTCCTGCCGGAGCTTTCCCAGAAGGGCAGGCTGTGTGCCGTGCCTGTTCCACGTGTGCCTTATGTCGCCTTGTCTGCCGAACCCTTCAGGCCACAGCACAGCTTGATTGAACTGCCGGGACGTTAAAACCCTAGGTTTAATAAGGCAGAAAGCAGAATCTTTTTTGATTACTTTTTTTTTCCTAGGGGATGAAGGTAGTAAAAAAAGGAAAACAATCCTCATGGGTGTGTTTTGGAGATTGTGTGTGTGCCTGTTTACTTGTTTCTAAGCAACGCTCATGCCTTCGAAACCCCGAACCAGTTCTCCCAGGGGTTCCTCGCTCCGGATGGGGCTGCTGACGGAACATCCTACTGGCTGACAGGCACTCTGCAAACGCCGGGCAAGCTTGTCCACCACCTGGGTTGCCCCACTTGAAGTTACGAACTGGCCGTGGTTGCCAAGGCAACTCTGTTCACTGACCTGTGATGTTCTCTTGAAAACACTTTTTAAATTAAATCTGCTGACATCTGAACACAGTTAAGCCTTTACTCTGTGGAGGTTAAATGCATAGCTAGTATCAACAAAGATGGTATAATTTATGTACACAGAAGTTGAATTAGTCTGTTTCTCTTTTTAATTTCATTTTCTGCCTCCCATGTATTAATTCTTTTATCCCCTCCCTGCCTATGTCAACCCTCACTGCCCAAGTATGAATGTAAAATGCTCAAATGCTTCCTTACACACGGGCTGTGTTACTGGATGCCTGGAAAATATGATTTCTGCCTCTGCTTACATTCTTAGCACTCTCAAGGATAGACACACCTCTGTAAACTATGAGACAAAACCAGTCTGAAGCTGCACAGAAAGTATTATTTGGAGCAAAACGGCACAAAACTTAGTGTATGGAAACTGTGTAAAAAATGAGCACAGTGTGTACATGGTACACAGTTAGTGTACCTCAGTTTTATAAACAGACTTAAAACCAGTTCAGATCCAGTGTGCCATTTTCTGTGTTGCAGCAAATCCATAGGTTAGTTTAAAACAAACAAAAAAAAAAGTGTTTAGTGAATCAGTGTGACAGAGATGAAAACTGAAGTACCAATATTGTCACAATTGCTATAAGTCCAGTTGTCTCCTCAAAAATATCCTGCTCAGCCATCAGCTTTCCCAGAATGGAAATCCATAACCATCACCTTTTGGATTTCAAATTTTGTCTGCAACTTCCCTCAGTGTGGTGTGAGCACTCATAAAATACAGAGCAAATTATTTCAAATAAGTTTTATCTTAAAACAGTGAGCTTAGTTCATCAACACTAGCCTGCACCTCCACCCTCCACTGAATTTCTTTGTGCTCTTTCCCATGTTCTCTATACCGTGCCGAAATACCTCCAGCAACTTCTTTCTATCTCCCCTCTGGCTGTTCTTACCCATCCCTGTTCCTCAGCAAAGGGAGCCATACACTGTTTTTAATTCTTTGTTAAAAGTTGTATTGTTTCAGTTGTGGCAACTTGCACTGGAATCTGTCCTCCTTCCCCTCCACCCTTTCTAAAGGCAGCTGTGGAGAAGTTCTTTTTTTTTTTTTAACCCATTCAGACAGCTTCTGACTGTTACTCTGTGTGTGTAACACACATAGTTACAGTACTTCTTGGATACTCCACAATGCCATAAAATGTATGATGATTCAATTTAAGAATCTTCTAAACCTCTCAAACTCTAGCTTTGCTACACGCAGAGAGGTTTCATAAAGTTAAACAAAGAATGCACTGACTTTCAGTCGCATGAGGCCTTTCAACTCCCTTACTCTCCATGTGAATTAAGTGCTACTTTGGAAGGGTTCATCAGTGCTGGAAGCAGATACCAGCCCATACATTGTGCTGCCCTGTGCACTGAGGCCAGGCTGTGGTGAAGGCAGCCGAGCCAAAGCAGAAGTACGAAGCTGTAAAAATTTGTTAAATAGTGATATGTTTGGGTTCCGTGAAACCAGATTCAGCCTTACAGCTGCTGAATATGTGTATCGAAACATTATTTATTGACACTCTTTTGTTACCTTCAGTCAGGGATTGGTTGCCCCTTAGATGGTAGAAGAGTGAATAGCATTCAGGATGAGAAGCGACATTGGTTAATGGATCCTGTTAGTAGGTTTTGCTGTGTTTCAGAAATTTGCACGTTTTTCTGTTCTGTTTGTAGGGGCTCTGTTTCTTACGTCAAATGTGACTGATGTTGAACTCTGTTCTTTGCTTTCAGTTGATTTGGCCTAGAAGACTTTCACGACAGTTGTGCTTTCTTTTTCCTTTTTTCCTTTTTTTTTTTAAAAAAAAAAAATTATTATATACCTTGATGTTGCTGCTCCTGGGAAATGCTTTTTTAGGACATGTTGAGGTTATGTCTCCAAAGACCAGAACATCATCCCTGTTGAGCTAGAACATTGCACTGCTTTCTTTCAACATGATTGTTTTGTTGGCAACTAGGAGAGAAAAAAATATATAAAGCTTTGCTTTTGTAAGCCTCAGATGTGCAAGCATTTGTGTGTTTGCTTTACTTTTAAGCTTATGGGCAGTGTTTGAGATTATAATTTATTAAATATGTACTTCATAGTAAAGGATAATTCTGAAGGAAGCAAAATATATTGCTCCATTTGTGGCAATTCCTTCTAGAGCTCTTCAAACTCTGTTTTACATGCTAGAATACCTCTTACTATTTGTTTGATCTAATTCTAGGTTGAGTTCACCTTTACATGTAAATGGTTAAACAGAGAGTTATTATATATGATTTAATTTTACAGGAATTCAAAATTGTTATGGGATTCTCATATGCAATGGAAATGTTTGGTGGTTAGAGAGTATCTACAGGGCTTCCTCATAGCATGCATTCTTTTGATTATTAATGTCTTTAGAAGTAGGTAGGAAGAATTGCTTCCCACAGTGTCAAATACATTCCTTCCTGAAGAAGGGTGGATGCCAGGGGGAGCTGTTTGGAGGATGGAAGTGACTGTGCAGGTGCTTTCGCTGAGGAAGAGCAAACAGTTCTATTTGAAGCTAACAGAATATTTGCCTGTCTTGCTGCTTAACATTTATGAATAACAAAGCAGGGTCAAGTTAGGTATTTAGAGAAGGAAAAGAGCAATGACTAATCTTTCCAGTAGCTCCTATTACTAACCAACAACTGCTAAAGGCAGTAGAGGCTTCCAGGGTGGCATGGCATTGGCATCTTTAGAGTGAAAGCAGTTCTCTTAATGTACGGATTCAGTACTGAAGTGTCATGAAACAAATAGGAAAAAAAAAAACCCAAACCTGAAACTTCAGGTTTGCTGTAAAAACACATTATACAAGGTATCACTTCCCTGGAAATTTTCCTTTCAGTTACAAAATAGATATTTCTGTAAATTTCCTGGGGTCCTGGAGCACTTGAGTAGCGCTTGTGTAATTAGACACTGATAGATTATTCCAGCAGTGTTGTCTTCTCTGGAAGACTTCTACTCAGAATCTTTCGTATAAGTATTAGGTGAAAATATCTTGACTTTTAGTTTGGAAGCAAATTATTGCTACTGAATATTAGCTCTGTGTATCTACACTTGCTCAACGTTGACTTAAGCTCTTCTCAGATGAGAGAAGTAGCCTCTGTGTGTGTTGCCTTCGCTGCATACAATGTTTTGGAGCACTACACATGGCATGTCTTCTCATCAGACTTCTCTGGATATTGACAATTTCCAAATTGTACCTGTTCACAGCAGTTACGTGGTTAGTATAATATCATATTCTTTGGTGTCACAGATAGAAGGACTTTCTTTAACAGCAATTGTATTTCTACATCATAATACAAGGTGGAATCTTTTTTTATGCACTAGGGTGTTGCATACAGTGACAATTAAGACAGATACCGATGATGTCTTGGCAAAGCTGTTACAAATGTTTCTATTTAGATAAATGTCCTTAAGGTTCTGGCCCTCTGAAGGGAAGGGAGAGAGAGAGAGAGAAAGGACTGAAAGACCAAATACATGGGGCTTCCAAATAAATACAAGAGAGAGAGAGAGAGTAAGGACTGAAAGACCAAATACATGGGGCCTCCAAATAAATACGACTTAAAATGTAAAAGCTTTCCAATTTTTTTTCAGATTGTGAACGTGTCACGATTAGTTGGTGTGGATAACCCTGTGGAGCTGATCTATTTTGTGGAGGACCAAGATGGAGAGAGACTCAGTGCTCTGAAGTGCTCAGACCTAATGAACAGAGTTGATATCCAGCGGGCTGCAATCATCCTTGGATACCGCATTGAAGGCACCGTTGCGCAGCGTAAGCCCTGTCAAAACCACACTGGTGCCAGCAAAGAGGAACAGGAAGGGTGATATTAGCTTTGGAGATTATGGCACTGCATAGTGCCCACTGTTCCAGTGTTTTGTTCTTGCAATGCTGTGATTTTGACACTCCTGAGAAAATAAATTTTAGCGGTCTTGCAGTGAGCTATGTGGTCTTGCTTTGCTTCTTGAAGACTCTGCTGAGTGTGGAATTGCAACAAGGTCCTGAAGTGCAAGCCTCACTGCATTCACTTTAGTGCTTGTGCTAGAAGAATACTGTGCTAACTAGTTACCTTCTTGCCATTTTCATCGCTTTCTGCTAATCCAGTATTTCTGTACAGCTTATCTTGCCCAGGAGCTTGCACAAAACCCACAATTGTGGGATGGGAGGGCACCAGCGTGAAATGGGTCTTTCTTTTAGCTGAGTAAGGACACCATTTTTTGTTTGTCTGAACCCATTTCACTATGTCAGCTCAGTTTTGGGTTACAGAATGACGTGGCAGAAGTATATTTTCATTAGTAACTTAAGCACAGATCTTCAGAAGGTAGGCCATCACAATAGGTCACCTGCCCAATGCTCCCTGAGCATGACTTACGTTAACTTGCAAGTGGTATGACATTTCCTGTGATGTGCAGCTGGTTTCTTATAAATTCCTTAACTACCATTTACAAGAACATAAAAATGCATAACCTTGAAGTGTCCTTATTTAAAAATATATAACCACATAAAATTACTGTCTTCCTTTTTAACTTCACAGCGGTGGAGAAGCTGAAGGAGTCCACCTCAGAGTCACAGAATAGCAACCTGTGGATTATTGTTGGTGTAGCAGTTCCAGTTGCTGTGGTGCTCCTGATCGTTATTATTTTATACTGGAAACTTTGTCGAACAGACAAACTGGAGTTTCAGCCGGACACAATGAGCAACATTCAGCAGCGACAGAAGGTAAAATGGGAATCTGTGCTGAGAGGAGCGTGAATATTCTGAGCACAAATGAATGTGAGAGTCTAGGGAACACCTAGCATCCTTGGACAGCATGTGGAAACATTTTCAGAGCCTTCTGGTTTAAAAAGGAAAAAGTCAAATGGTAGTTGAAGTCAAGAATCCCATAGTGTTTGATTTTTTTTCTCTTAGGTATATGATACTGCATTAGATAGATACATCCTTCTGAAATGTAGGCACTGAGGCTGAAAGGAACCTTTATCACTTCGTTTCAAGGCTTTGGCTGGGACTGAATAAGGAAATATACTGAGTGTTGAATCACTGACTTTGTTTTCTGCAGAGGGCTGAATTTTTCTTTGGAGAGCTTCTGCTGAATTAATTTGACAGCTAAACCGCACTATCCATTATACCTCATGCTGGAACTAGAGTTTGCTAGAGCCTGTCCTTGCTGCTCCACGTTCTACTGGGGCCCTTGAGCCTGTTGCGAGACTAGAACTTTAATTAGTGGATGTGCATGAGACTGCATGGGTGAGTGTATTGGCTGAAGTGTTGGAGGACTGGGTTGAGATGGTGAGAAATTCAGTAGTCTTGGTTTTCTCCTACCCAAGGCTGTAAATTAAAAAATACGTGGTCCAGGATTTTCACAAAGAATGTATTCAGTAAAAAGAGTGGAAAAGTGACTAAAGGGTTACAAATCCTACTTTTCCTTTTGCAGCTGAAGAGAACTGGTCTGTGTCAGAGATGCTTATTACTGACTGTGCTTTCAGAGGCATTATTAAAGACAAAATAATCTGCCTGTGCTAATCCTCTGGTACTGTAGTCATGTTCTTGTGCTGTCACCTCATGTTCAGTCATACAGTTTTTTCCGTAACAAGTCTTGTCTGTACACCATGCTCTCTTTCAAGATAATTAATGATGTGAAAGATGAGAGAAGCAGAAAGTGGTTGCACTTCCAGAGCAGTCAGAACAAATCAATAGTAACTTCCACTCATCTTGCCACTGCAGATTGAGTGTCAGAATCAAGGTCAGCAACAAGTGGTACCCTTTGATGAACTTCACCTTGGAACCTTGTTTCACCTTTGCTGTGTGGTAATATGTAACACAGATTTTGATTGAAGAAGTTCCTCACAGTAGTTTCAGCTAATTTGGGAAGATTCATACAAAAAAGACAAGAGGAGATCGTTACCCTTGGTACACTATTTCATCACCTGCATTTTCTGTACCTCTGCTGTCGCAAGCTTTTTCATAGTTTCTTTCTTTTGGGAAAATGGCTCCATTGTTTTTTCACCTCTGCTTCCACAGTATTCTTCATTTTAATCATTCATGAGTCAGAAGCCTTGAACTTGTTTGTATGCAAGTCTCATTTCAGTTCGCCTAGGGAGCCTGTCACTTTGCCTCCTTTAGGGAAGTCACTGTAAGCAAACTAGAAAGAACCAGTAAGGACATCTAGTCCAATCCTTGTGCCAGTGGGTGGCTCATATGTTAATACTAAATGAGGTAAAGCAATAAAAAGTGTCTTAAATTTTTATCATTTAGCAAATTAAACAACTGGCAGAATCTACTTTGATTTTTCTCCTTTGCCCTGGATGCAGAACAAAAGTAGTACTTTGGCTTCCTTAGTAGCAAGCTGTCTTGGGGTTTTCTTCATGTCTTCAAACAGTGGGTTGGAATTCAAGGTCAGAATAGGGCATATTTAACAAGCGTTGAAGACCCCAGACAGTCACAACAGCATACAAATAATTAGGGACATTTGGTCTAGTCCTGCTCTTTAAAATTGTTTGTGATTTTTATACTTTTTATTACAGTAAATGCAAAGAAATGATCAAAGGAGTGAAACCATGTGGTCAGGGATTTAGGTCTGTAAATAAACTCAATCTAAAAAAGGTCCTGGGCTTCCCCTTCCTCACCCCACCCACGATTGTTTCCATCCCCTCTTTACAGAGCTTGACTTTGTTGCCAAAGAAAAGTGAAGGCCTGCGCTGCATCTGTAAATGGAAGGGTATTTAGGTTAAGGTTCTGGGTTTTTCCTCTTGGAATCAATATTTCATTGGTAAAAGCCATAAAGATGCATTTATAGTGCTAGCTCTTCTCACTTCCATTAATCTTTAAAAACATTTTCTTTTAATGTAAATATAGAAATTGAATGTATAAATATCAAAGTATTTCATTAACATATGCATGGCATATCCATACTGGAAATATAAGACAATTCCTTTCAACCATGTAATAAGTCTACAATCTGTTTTGCACTTGAAAATGTGTGTTGGTTGGAAGACACGAAACTGAGACACCCTTTTCTTGTTCAGATGAAATAGGATATCATACTGTACTGGTGGATCTCCAGAGGTATCACCAGTCTTTTTTTCACTGTGTTTAATTAGCCATTTTAACATAGCAGATCTGTGGGCAGTATAATAATCTGTTAGAATTCACAGTGGCAGCTGATAGCAAATTATGTCACCTGTGATTTAAAAGCCTGGAACAAGGTTGGAGGTGGGGTGAGAGGAAAACCTGTTTGCTTCATGCTGCTGAGGAAAGACTTTACCACTAAAAGGCTGATTCTTTGAAACACAGAGGGGGAACATCTGTAACATACGGTATTGCAGATTACATAAGTATGACAAGTTTTGCAGGAGCTTTTTATTCTGCTTGGAAATGTCTCTTACAAATTTGCTTTCTTCTCTTTAGAGAGATGCTTTAAAGACACTACAAATTTTCCTGTATTCTATGGTTTCATGTGTTGTTCTAATACCATCTTTTCTTTCTGCCTTCCTTTCACTTAATTACTTAATTCTGGTTTTAAACTCCTGCTTTTTCCTGAAATATTTTGATTTGAGTTTTGATTTTAATCTTCTATATGTAAAGGTTTACTTTTACAGAGTAGATATGATTTCTGTGTTCCTATGACCACAGTTAAGTCATAAGCTGAATACCCTTGTAGCCTATTTTCTAGTGAAGCAGACCAGTATTATTATCTGTTTATAGTAAGACCCTACATGCCTTTTGGGTGTGCACCGAGGGTATGGCTGCCCAGGTACACCTCAGTGGGGTAAAAATCACCAGGTAGTTGCATTATGCAACAATTCAGTCATACTGGCCAGCATATCATGCCAGCATAGCTAAGCTGCTTTGGTCCTTTATCTGCTCTGTGGACACACCTTTAGAATATTTGGGTCACAATCCCTCACTTGTGACTGTCAATAATAGCGCATTTCCCACTTCAGCAGCCATAGCTATATTGAAAATATTCAGATCCTGCAGTGATGAACCCATAGAAGTACCCAAGATTGCATCTATATTTATGTGCCATAGCAGATCTGAAGCTGGGCTTGAGTTCAGATTTGCTGCTTATCTCCACTCTCAAGGCCAGATTGCTCTCAAAGATAATACAGATAATAGCAAAAATAATGTTTCTTCTAAGGTGGTGACACGGGCAGGGTAGACTGTATTCAGCGAAAGCCTGTTCTGCAGATTGGGTATACTGTGCCATTCTACCTGTTGCTGTTCTCTCCACCAGACTTCCTAGTTTCATCACAGGATCAGTGTCTTGCAGACAGGATGACCTAAAGATCCCTCTTAAAAATGCTCATAATGTTATCTTCTGCAAAGAATACATAGAGAGCCTGAACTCAAACAACACTAAGGGATATTTTACTTCTGGATAGTCTCAGAAGTCCGCTACTTCAGAGAATATAAACATAAATACATTAGAAAGAAAACTTTTGTGGGAACTGGCACTAGCAAAACCAAGTTTGAAGATAAAATAATAAAAAAAAAAAGGACCTCAAAGAGGTTCTCATTAACTAATCCATCCTTCTGCCTCAAAGCAGGATTAACAATACCTGAAAAGTATTAGGTTACCTTTTTCGTTCTGGAGATCAGATGGGAAAACATGCTTAGATCAGTTATTTGGACTTTTTTTGAACTGTAAGCTAAAGAAGCAGATCAATGCAAGATTCATTGGTCTATGCAAGGATGATTATTTTCAAGAGGTGGACCTAAGATATTTAAAGGGCACATCAAGTATTCATGACTTAATCTGTAAGCCGTGGCATCCTACTGGAAATTCACCTTGATGTGATCTGGGTTTTTGCACTGGATAAGGATGTCTTTGCCTTTGGAAGTAAAAAGATACAGAAGTGGCATTTTTAAATTGCAGGATTCTCTCCCTTGCCATTGCCTATATCCACCACAGCATTGTCCCAACCTGAACTTTTTTCCTTGCAAAGCAGCTATGCCTTTTGTTTGCAATTGAATTTTTGCTGTGGGTTATTTTTCTTCTTCATGAAAAAAAATGGATAAATGTCTTTAACGCCCAAACCGTCATTCTGCTCTGTACTGCACTACTGACATTTTTGTGTGAAAACACTGTCACCCCATTTCTTCTTCCCCAGAGAACAAAAAAAAAAATTCTGCATATTATCTGTAATGCAAATGGATTTGGCAATACTATTTCTTTCTTTGTGGACATCCAAAAATCAAAATGCAACTTGGTTCCCTAGGGATTTCACTTTCCCTGCTGTGTATAAACATTTGGAGAAAAAAAATCAAATCCTTTGCTAGGACTTTTTGGAGGTGGTTTCAACTCTATACAGTTACTCATGGAAAGGCTCCATACCCTAATGAAAAGAATCTCACACCTGTGGACAAGCTCATTGATGATTTATTTAGAAGGTCTTGAATGTTCTCCTGTAAATGCTGGGCATGCTGAAGTCATTGCCTTCACAGTGCTAACTTGGATTGAGTTGCTTACTCAGCTCCTAGTTTTTCCGAGGCCACATCCTAAACCTGTAGGGTTAAAAAGCCTACTTCAGCCAGGAGTTGCTCCTCTCTAGGGCCCCCTGCCATGCCGCTGTGGTTCTTAAAGGCTGAACACATCTCCCCAGCTCAGTGCCCCTCCTGTGCATTCATGTGTGGGAGAGGTGGGGTGGCTCAGTCCCCACAAAGCCCAGGACAAAGCACACAGTACCCCCACCTTCTCCTTGAGCAGTAGCACAGATAGT